AAAAAACCACCCTATGCTAAGTCAGTCCCTATGCTAAGTCAGTCCCTATGCTAAGTCAGTCCCTATGCTAAGTCAGTCCCTGTGCTAAGTCAGTCCCTATGCTAAGTCAGTCACGGTCGATGTGATTAGGTAGAGTCCTCACTTATAAACATGATCCTCGGTGTAACAGTGGATGATACGCTTATATGGTCACCACACCTGCCTGAACTTCAAAAAGAGCTTGGCTAATAAACTCAATCTATTAAGAAAATGGAAGTTCCTACCTATGAGCGTTTTGGAACAATTCTACTTAGTATTATTCTGCCCTCAATTACCTACGGCTTTGTGACAGGGGCAAACTGCAGCAACTCTGAGCTATTTAGATCAATCGATAAACTCCACGGCCGAGCCGCGAAGGTAATTCATAACTTAGCGAATGATACTTCTTATTAATGAGAACTAAAGGTAGCCAAATGGCATTCCTCAGCTTACATTTACAAGATCAAACTGTTGAAGCTGATGCATAATGCTTAATGATAGACTACCTGTACCACTAAGTGACAACATTGTTCAGTATTCAGAGAAACACCGAGCACTCGTTTAGAAGATCGTTTTCCCTAGGTTTAATCTCGTTATCTACAACAGTCTGTCAGTTACAGGGGCGCCATCCTCTGGAATTAATGCAATTGCATCCAGGCATCCGGACATAACTCACGCTGAACGATGGTATTTAGACTCAAGACTGAGTAAAATACAATTCCCATTTCAAACTGAGGAACTGAGGAACATCTGCCTCAACGGTCAACTTCAGTTATAACGATTTTATATATTTTTGGGACTTTTAGCACTTAGTCTTAAGGGTATTACAACCGTAAATTACTGTAAACTTATCATTTTATTATGTGTAATTGTACTTTAGACTTAGATGCACGACCCATGAGCACTAGCTTTAACTATCATCGTGCTGAAATAAAGTGGATCTTTGTGAGTATCCTCAACAAATTAGAGCTTACCTCTTCGTGAAAGGCCAGTCATTAATCCAAGAGGGGAATCTGCCTCATCTTGCGCAAGGATTCTTTCTTTAAGAGGAAAGTTTAAACATAACACCGAGCTGGAGCCCAGAATTTCTCGACTACACCCAAAGAAGTGGGTCAGGCGGTCGTAGGTCGTGTGGTCATTGATTGTCAACTCTGCAGTTGAAAGAGAAACAAAACATGATATACATAATATCCAACGCCAGGATATTGTTTAGAAAATGAATCGAAACGCTCCATACAAAATGGAATTCAAACCTCAATGTAATCCATCTGAGGGTTAGTCGAACTTCTTTCATTTTAACACTGAGTCTCGAGACGACTGCTAATATAACACTAAAAGGATTTTCTCTCTCCTTCGTCATTTACTTAGATCATCAAGTCAGTAATGACCAGTAATGGAAGGCGTTTCACGGTAATTCTTCTCATGATACTAAAACATTTCATAAAGTTGAATGGCAACGTAAGTTTTTACTCAAGACTGAGAAGCTTAGCGCAGGCTATTTTCTTAGTTTATTATTCGAACCTCATTCCCAGGGAACTTAAATACGGAAGTGCAATTATATCTCACTTAGTTGCCTCGGAGATTTTTTTATCTTGATTTATGAAAAGGAAATAATATTCGTCTTTCTTGACAAAGGCAACGTTTAATTCTACTACTTACCTTCGGAAATTTTTGGTGGCCACTGTAGGGGAAAATAGAAGCTAATCTTTCCATTGGGAAGGTTTTCATCAACGACCACATAATTTTCAAACTGCCTGTATTCCATTTCAATTCTAATTTCTTTAGATCCTTCAATGGCGCCTTGCTTGAAGAAGAAGATCGCGAGGGTTCCCACGTCATGCTGAAACTCGCTTTCAATGCTTCCTTCTTGAATGACAAGAGAATCTTGTTCATTCGACCAGTGCTGTACGTACGTGCCAAGGGTAGTAAATGTTCCAAAGCTGAAGGAAGCAACTCTAACCATTTGACGTGTCTCATCTGTCCTGTATTTGAAAGTATCTTTGGGAGTCTCTGACTCCATCCAGAACGAATCGCCACGCTGGCAAATAGAAGAACACCATTGTCGTCGAAATCGCTCAAAAAATTTAGCTTTGCTCAATTCCGTCGTCCTCAACCGGATGTTAATGATTCTGGCATTCCCAGTCGGGGAATTCACTGGCTCCTGCGCGTTCGCAACTTGGAACCTTGCGGCTTTCAATAAATCTTTAAAATCTTCAAGTTGATGACGACTTCCTCTTCCTCCCTCTGGTTGAAAACGATCGCCCCAGATATTTATGCTCAGTTCGACTTCTTTAGGTTTAGCCGGAAGTTTGTGTTTCGCCAGCTTATTTCGACGATGTGCCATCACGTTAACACAAGTACCCAGTTTGACTCATCATTATATAATTATGGATCTTTAGTCGGCGAAGTTTTCTGTCGAAATCTGTTCTGGTCGACAATATTTCAACTTTTTTGCCATCCTAGTACATTTAAAGGCTGCCAAAACAAGCTGAGTATTATTGCGCAGACTCAAACCAATTAGGGCCAATTCCTGGAAGAGGCAATTGTTTCTAAGAATTTGAACTTCCGCATGAAATTCCCGGAAAGACAAATATAGACAATAATAAGCAAACGCCTTCGCTTGGTTTCTTTCTTTCTTTTTTTTTTTTTGTTATAAGCTCGTCAAGCGTTTCTGAAAAATTGTTTCTTTCTGTTACCAAATTTCATGTTTTTTTTGCATAAACCTGACACGAAAAGTCTTTAAATTGGTGTGAAACGGCCGTCACGCAACCCAGTCACGCAAAAACAAAACAAGCACTCTATTCTGCCACATTATTCGATAAACAAAGCAGAAATATATGATAGGTTTTAATGTCTTGCAGTTAAAATACTCCACAACAATAATAGCTGTGTTATAATTCGAAAAGCCCGGTCCAGTTATTTTTAAATTAGCACTGAGGTTTATTGGTTCACGCCGGGAATTTTTAGTCTCTAATTTGGCCAAACCGACGGGCTCAATTAATGCGTCAGCGGCTAACTTCCAACTGGCAAAAACATGGCGGACGCTAGTGCAGTGTTTTTGAATACTGTTCGTGGTGCGCTTGTAGTCGCAGAAGCTGAACTTTCGGGCAAAGATGGTCAAATTAATAATATGAGCGAAGCCCTAGATGATATAAAAGGGTTGTTGGCACCAGTTTCGGTTCGACACTTCAATAACCGAACCGGATTTA